CTAGGCCCGAAACGTCAGCCTCTCTGCTCCTATGATGCTGCTTGGCCTGCTGTGTTCATCCAGCCCTGCACCTTGTTGTCTCTGATATCAGCAACAAATGTGCAGATGAATCCTGAAGTCTGTCATGGCAACTGACTTCACCAATTCTATCCACGCATGTAGCGTGGTCATTTATCAGCCATTTTGATGTTTGGAGTAATCAATCCAGTCTAGATTAGCATATTTGCTTTGAAACACCTTTAAAGCCATTTAGTCCCAGCTGCAAATAATAGCTGACTACTGTCATAATCATTGCTCACCACTGTACATGGAACTGAGGTGTTTAGTTTACCCTGATGAAAAGAACCAAACTCACCATTCTCAGCTCTCCCTCCTGCTAGGAAAACATAATATTGTCTGTCTAGATCAAAGCGTTCACTGTATTCAGGGAGCCAAATGTTTCTTCTGAATGAACACTGTGTCACTCCATCTTCTAAACTCCAGGACATATCATGAATAGGAACCTGCAATAATTTATTTTGTTAAAGAGCAAATTACTTTCACAATTTCAAATCTGTTGCCATTACTTAGCACTAAAAAAGAACCCATATAGCCACATGAAAATTTAGTGAGAAAAGGCTCTGCTTGCTCCTTTCCTTCCCATAAGGTTCACTCAATGCAGAATGGGGGTTCAGTTATTTTATCATACGTGTCCATCTTTCACCTCCTCTTGAATGCCTGTCTTAGGAATACTGACTTCACTCGAAAAGGAAATCAGGCTGAGTGTAAAACAGGTAGGAGCAAATTACTGCAAATACTGGAATCCCTACTGAAAACAACAAATGCTGGAGATCACAGCGGGTCAGGCAGCATCCAAGGAGAAAGAGCAAACTAACGTTTCGAGTCTAGATGACTCTTCATCAGACAGACTGCTACCCAAGATGAATCACACCTTGCCTCACATCTTTTTATTAAATATTTTCATAACCTTTTGTCTCTCCTTCACAATCAGTAACGCTCCTTTTAAAGATGCCAATTGATCCTGAACCTACATATTTGCAAGCATTGGAAATAAGTTTCTCGAACCCAAACCTTGCTGGATTCTTATAAATATAATGTAACCATTTAATGCTCAAGTTAAATAACTAGTTGATGTAAATGTGATCTATGCCTTTATTATTTTGATGAAGTCACTAAGCAATGTCTTATTTTTATTTACCTGTCAGATATTAATAACTAAATGAACAGTCCCCAGTTCTGATTGGTAAAAGAACAGAATATGTCTCTAGGAATATAGGAAGCTTAAGCACTGGAGCGGACCTGGTTAGTCTGGCTGATCTTAGTATCAAAAAAGAAACACAAGACAACCTTTGCTCATATCTACCTATCTCTCACCTCAATACCTCAAATTCTGTAAACTTTGATATATTTTCATTTCTGAGCCTTCTTTTCCCCGATTCTCACAGTTTGGTGGGAGAAACTTGTTTTTAATCACCAGGCTGACTTACAGAGAACAAGCCACCCAGGTAAAGGGCCCTTCCAGGATACCAGTGACAAAATGCCATTGTTAGGCTGCTACTATCCTATGTCTACTAAGCATCACAGTTAAAATCAGCCCCCCGGTCTCCTCTCCAGTATTGAGCTCAGAGTGACCAACATATTTTATGGAATCATCCTTGTTGCCACATCCTATACACTGGTTCCCAGGGAGGTTATTTCTCCTGGATTGCTCCAGATAGCAACTGAAGAAGTTGCTGACATCTCCTCTTCCAGCTACCCCGGTATCTTCGGTATCTTGCATGTACACTGTGATGCTGCATGCGCATGGCCCATTGAGCTCAATCAGCCAAGAGTCTGAGGACAGAGACCCCAGAGTGGAGGAAAGATGGTGAATTAAAAAGACAGGGAACTGGAAACAGAGGTCACACTCACAAACTGAGGAGAAATGTTCTTTAGTTACCCAATCAATGTTTGGTTTCCCCTTATCTTGAGCAGCAAACACAGTATACTAAATGGAAAGAAGAATAAGTAAACTGCTTTTTCACCTGGAAGGAGTGTTGGAGCCTGGATGATACAAAGGGAAGAAATACATGGGCAGACATTGCATTTCCTGAGCTTTCATGTAAAGGTGCTACAGAAAGGGTAGTGGATGTTGGAGCAAACTGAAGAGTGAACTAAGGGATCATGAAGGGAATGGCCTGATTGAAATGCTGAAAGGAGAGGGAAGAGGAAGATAGTGTGGCATCATGTTGGATGTGGCAGAACTGACAGGGGAAGATCTGTTGAATACAGATGCTAGCATAATGGAAGGTTAGGGTAAAGAGATCACTATTATTATTCTGGAAGCAGTGGGAGAGTAAGTGAAATGGACCAGACTGGTTGAGGACCCTGTAAGTCATAGTGGAGGCAGTGGGAAACCATCCACAGTTGAAGTAAAAGGAAAATATATGCAAGATCTCATTGTTGGAACAGATGGGATGGAGACAGAGGTATTATGAGAATCCTTCTCTACACTTCTCTGAAAAGAAATGGTCTTTACAACAATTACTCTTTGAGACATAGCACTTCATGCTCTGAAATATCTTGTGCTCAATCCAATAGCTATGTAGCCTGGGCAGCATTATCGAAACCATGAACTCAAACACATTGTTAATTTCAAACGTAGCATTTCCAAAGAACATTTTAAACAGAATGCCTCTAACCTTGATTAAATTTAAGTAAGTAATAAGATATAACACATTATTATAGAATAATACATCACAGGAAGCTATTTGGCCCATTATGCTAGCTCTTTCACAGTTATCCAATGTAGTTCTATTCCTCAGCGTTTGTCCCATAGCCCCATACAATTTGTATACTTTTATGTTTAAACAATGCAGTAAATTCTAATAATAGGTTACCAAAGTAAGCATATACAGTAAGAAGTACTTGCATGTAAATAGCACTTTATCAAATTTTGGAGAACCATCAGATCACACCGATAATACTATGATCCTGCTGATGGTACAACTAGACAAGTTAAATCCCAGAATGAAAACCAGTTTGATAGAGCTTTTTATAGTTAGTTACCGTGGTGGTTAGTCACTGATTCATATTTACATATTTTCTTTAACAATAGAACAAGAGCTTATTAAATAAAATAAGTAATTTATTTTAAAAATCAAGCAGTCTAGAAGAAAAAATTCTAAATATAGAAGGAAGTTAATAATATTGAAAACATATAGTTAAACAAAGTTTTAACCAACTCCCGACAGTTTCTTTGCTGTGGTCTGTGGAAACAAGTTGAGGAGTCCTTTCCAAATCTGTCAACATATATTTTCCACAAATCTGAGAACCAAAACTTCCTCAGTTCTAATAACCTGAACATTTCTCACCAAACTCTGATGGTTTAGGAGATTCACATACTAAACTATTTTGCTGGTTCCCCAAACTGTGCTGAAAGACTCCTTCTAGGAGAGAAAATAAACCTGTTTCTGCACTCAACTTTGGTACTTTCTGAACTAAAACCATGAGTCAATCTTAGACAACAAGGTGCAGGGCTGGATGAACACAGCAGGCCAAGCAGCATCATAGGAGCAGAGAGGCTGACGTTTCGGGCCTAGACCCTTCATCAGAAAAGGGGGAGGGGAAGGGGGTTCTGAAATAAATAGGGAGAGAGTGGGAGGCAGATAGAAGAGGGATAGAGGAGAGGATAGGTGGAGAGGAAGGCGGAGGAGAGATTACAAGAGAGTTGCAGTGGGAGAGAGATCCCTTGAGGTTTGTCCGGAGGGAGGAGGGTAACTTCTTCAGGCTAGGCATCCTTAGAAGAGGCTTCGCAGTGGGGTTAAAATTGAATCAGAGATAGTAGGAACTGCAGATGCTGGAGAATCCGAGACAACAAGGTTCAATCTTAGATTCTTTTGAACTGAAAATAAAGCTTTTAGCCTTACACGTTTATCCTGCATATTGAAAATGCAACAATATAAACATAATTCCATTAACACCACAGGGGTCTATAGTGATCTGCTTTCATCACTATTCCAGAAGAAAGTTCTAGCCTTCTTCCTTTAAGAGAAAACCTTTCACAGAAGTAAACAAAATTACATCCATCTCTATTTTGAATTGCAAATACCAAAAATGGTACATGGTTAAAAAAATATAAAATTATAAACTTTTCATCACAAATATCAGTGATGTCATTTAAGAAAATGTAATTGATAATTTTCACAGAGCAAGATGCCAGAAATTGCAATGACTAACTATTGCATTGGTCCTGGTTGAGGTATCGATGGTTGCTCGAATGTTGAAAGAACTCTCTGTTCATCTTCAAAACATGCAGAAACCTTCTGGAACAGCTTCATTCAGACAGCTAAACAGATTAATTGCAAATGTATTGAGAAAACATAGCATTTTTGTACCTACCTGTGTGTTCAATATTGGATGTGAACGGCCAGTGGAATGAGCTGGATTTATCTGTATGCTTTGATCATTTACAACACACAAATACATGTCATCATTACCCTGGTAACAGAAGATTATTGAGTAAATATAACTGCATATAACCAAGCCCCACTATATCAATATGCCATCTGATTTATGTGCACTGATTTGATTGCATTGTTTACTTTTCATTAACAGTATGATGTAAGGTTCTACTGCCGACAAATATATTACAGATAGAAACAAAATCTTGGGGATGGTGGAAATCCAAAATGAAAAGAGAAACTCAGCTGGACTGCAGTGGAGAGAGCAACAGAGTTAAAATTCTGAGTCCAATATGATTCTTCTTCAAAAATGAAAGCGGCTGACAATTTTTTTTTTAATGTTGACAAAAGGGGATAAGGAATGAGTGGAAAAGTTGGTGAGGGAGCCTAGTAAAAAAGACAAAGGGAGAAGTAATGGGAATAAAGAAGAAATGTAATATTGTTGTAAATGATAGATACGCAAAGGAGAAAATATGCCCAATTTCCTGAAGGTATAACTAGGACAACACCATCAAGACATCAGGGACTTGCAACCAAAATGGAGGACAGAGATCATGCTCTGAACTTGATAAGTTCTGAAGGCTGTACAGTGCCTAAATGTAAAATGAGAAGTTGTTCCTCCAGCTTGCAATGAGCTTCATTGAAACACTGTAGCAGACCGAGAATGGAAATTTTAGTATGGGAACAAGACGGTTTCTTCAAATTGCAAGCAAATGGAAAGTCGAGGTCATTCCTACAGATAGAGTGGAGGTGTTCCACAAAACAAACACATATCTGCATTTTTGTTTCCCCAACATAAAGGAGATCACAATTTGAGCAGCGAATACAGTGGACTAGATTGAAAGAAATATAAATAAAACACTGCATAATCTGGGAGGCATCTTTGAATCCTTGGACAGCGATGGGAAAGCAGATGAAAGGGCAAGTGTTAAATTTTCTGCAATTATTTGGAAAGATGCCATGAGTGGTAGGAGTGATGGAAGATTGTACCAGGGTGTTATGAAGCGATCAGTCCTTGGGAATGCTGAAAGTGGAGGGAGGGGAAGATGTGTTTGGCAATAGTGATGTTGTACTAAAGGTGGCAGAAATAGTGGAAGAGAATTCTTTGAATGCAGTGACTGGTGGGGTGGAAAGTGAGAACATTTTTCTGGGACGGAGGTAAGGGTAATGGCAGAAATTGTGAGGAATGGGTCAGATATGGCTGAGGACACTGTCAACCATGGTGGAGGGTCCATGATTGAGGAACAGGGAAGTCATTTTGGAGGCTCCCCAGTAGAAGGTAGCATCACCAGAATAGAATGGAGTCCTTGTCAGAAGCAGTGTGGAGCAAGTGTAGTAAAGTATTTGTGGGAGTCAGTAGGTTTCTACAGGATACCAGTGGACAGCATATCCCCAGAAATGAAACAGTCAAGTCAAGGAAAAGAGGGATGAGTCAGAGGTAGGCCAGGTGAAGGTGATGGAAGGATGGAAAAACTACTTAATTTTTCCAATTTCAGGCAAGAGCAGGAAGCAGCACTGATATATTATCTGTTATAAATAAATTGTACGTTTGCATTTCCGAGTCATCCTGTAAAAATTGAAGTAGTCTCACAATTTCTATTGGAGTTTAGAGATGATGGTTTCTGAGTTCCTGCAGGGGTTGGATTCTGGGGACTCTCACTTGTCAGGAACGAGGCAGTCGTTTCTTGTTTATTTTTTCTAAACTCATTCAAAGGACGTGGATGTTATTGACCATCCTTAATTTTTCTTAAGAAGGTCATGGTGACCTCCTTTCTTGAACCATTCCATCTGGTGTCAGTACACCCAAGAGCTGTGAGGAAGGGAGCTCCAGGATTTTGACTCTCACAACAGTGAAGTAATGATTGTAAAGTTGAAAGTCACATGGTGTGTGGCCTCGAGGGGATCTTACAAATGGTGGTGCTCCCATGCATCTCTGCCCTTATCATTCATAGGTGGCACAATTAGGGTTTTGCAAGATGCTGCAGTGTATCTTGTAGATGGTATACATTGCTGCCACCATGCATCGGTGGTGGAGGGAGTGAATGTTGAAGGTGATGGACAAGTTGTCAATAAAGTATGCTGCTTTATCCTAGATGGTATCAAACTTCTTGACCATCAGAGCTACACTCATCCAGTCAAGTGGAGAGTATTTTATTACAGTCCTGACTAGTGCCTCTATGTTGGACTTGTTTTAGGAGTCAGAAAGTGGGTTGGTCACGACAGAATTCCAAGCTTCTAACCTGATCTTGGTAGGAATGACCTATTGCCCCATTATGAACATGCCTGACCATGCAAACCCCATCCAGTCCTAATGTAGGACAGCCAGGACACAATTCATCTTCTATCAGCCAGAAGTCCAGTCAAAGACAAGTCTAAAGGAAAATTGTGGAGGGGGTACCAGAAGAACTGGAATATTCCAAATGTTTTCAGGAATCCAGAAAAGCTCATCACCATTCCTCTCCCAATTCTCAGGAGCAGTGTGGCAACTGCTTAAGTTTCTTTATACAGAGGCCAGACGAGTCCGACAGCTCTTTCCAACCACACAAAAATGAAATATCATTTCTCTGTGGACTCCCCATCAGCAGTAGACCAGCCAATATGAGGCAGAGTGTGCTCAGTGTGCGTCTTATCCATTGCAATCCTAAAATTGAAATTCAGTCCCATGTAAGCCCTAGGACTTTGATTTAGATGTCAAGTAGTTCCACTTTGAGGCTTAGGTGTACACTTTGGCTACCTAGCAGAAGGTCTAAGGGAATATAGAAACAGTCTTGCTGTCAGTGAGAATTAGGCAATAATGATTCACCATTTCCACCACGGAGGACAGCTGATGGACGAGTAGCATTATTGCTAGTCTATTAATCCAGAGACCCAGGTAATGTTCTGGGACCCAGGTTCAAATCCTGCCAAGGCAGATGTTGGAATTTGAATTCAATAAAAATCTGGAATTAGGAGTCTGATGATGACCATGAAATCATTGTCAATTACTGGGAAAACCCCATCTAGGACATCATTAATGTCCTTAAAGGAGAGGAAACTGCCATCCTTTCCTGGTCTGGCCCACACACTGACTCCAGACCCACAGCAATGTGGTTGACACTTAACTGCCCTCTGGGTAATTAGGGATGGGTAATAAATGCTAGCCGAGCCAGTGATGCCCTCATCCCGTGAATGAATGAATTTTTAAAAAAAAATCCAGCTGCTGGAAGATCTCAAAATCACCTCCCTGGTTTCTATTATGAGACATTTTCCTAATTGAATATGTGATGAATATTCCACAAGTTAATAAATCTTTGGCCCCATTCATGTCCTCACCCTTCTGCTAATAAAATGTTTATTTCAATGGGAATTTAAGCATTTTTAAAAATTGGATTTCATTTAGCCCAATGCTTGAATGCAGTAATTCTTAGAATTTTCTTTTGGACGTATGTTCATACTGAGACCTGTCAATGCTGCTAAATGATTCAATTTCACAGCAACACCAGATTTGCAATATAATCCTGAAATTGGGCCTCTGACTGACTGTAGGAAAAAAGATGCTGGGAGATCCCTTGAAATGGCAGTCTTACATTACAATCTTAAACCTGGTTTAAAAACTGGCCCTGAACCTGCTACATATTTTCTACACTTAACAGACACTGGCTTCAATAAACATTCTCACACACATTCTCAAGGCACTGAAATGTCAAGAGCAGAATTCGGCAGATATCAGTTAGCACAAGTGCTAACAACTCTCACTTTGACAGGAAGTTTCCAACTAGAGGGAAGACTAGGAAAAGGATATCAGCGGTTGAACAGTTGTTCTGAAATAACATAATCACTGTAAGTATTGGCAACTGCCTTCATTCAATATAAAGAGATTTTTAATCTGCTGCAATACTGACCATCCATTTGTCATCTGACAGAGCAAAAGAAATGTATCCATTTGAAGGTCCACTCAATTCAAACAGCACTGAAGTGTTTTGCACAGCAAATGAGAGGAAAAAGCACAATCGATCCAGTTCAGGGTCACATCCAGGAGGATTCCTCAGGCAGAATTTTTTACTGCCACATTCTGTCACATTGAACTGGCAATAGAAGATGAAAAAATGGATCAGTTTCACTTGGTTGGTGAATTGCAGGGTGACATTTTTCATTGGTTTAAGCGTCTTTTTAGCATTGTAGAAAGAATTTTAAAGCAATGCGATACACACACCAGATTTAGTGAAGTGATACTGTCATAAAGGTAAACTTGAACTTGAAGTGCAAATGGTTTAAAACAACAATTCATTCAGATGTCTGCCAAAGTTAAGGAGGACATTGGGAGAATGCCAGGGAAATGCTCTCTCAAAGGGTTTTATTTGAAATAGTTTTAGCGAGTGTTCCATCCTTTCTCTGAATTTATTTGGTTCCCTAAAAACAATGTTCTGCATGACGTTCTGCTGGAATGGATAGTATGGTACTCAAGTACTGTAGCTCGACATAAGAAGTCTCAGAACCAGCGAAACCCAGTTTCCACGTTGATCTGAATGGTCACCTATCATGAGTGCATCCAATAAATATAAAATATTTTGCATTGAAAAGAGGGACACAAAATGAAGCTGTGGGCAATTTTGACCTGGCATGCCTCTCAGGAACTAAACAAAGTCAGAATCCACAATGGAAATACATGATGCTTGATTTTACTTTCCATTGAAGAGGTAATATTAACCATTTAATATTGATATTGTATGAACCAAAGAGAGGTAATAGTGGAAGAGTGTAAAATTGTGCTCCAACCAATCTTCTGGGTTTTCTGCAAGGTGAGCAAAGTTAAAATCACTCCCCAGGCTCACTACTAACTACCACTGCACCTTTACACTTTCAAGTATCTCAGGCAGAAACTGTAGTCTAAAAATGTTGGCCTGAAATTACATTTGATGAAAATTTGACCTTGAACTTTCCTATAAAACAAGTATTCTTTACTTGAAATTAGGCATGTAAAAATAGGTTTCAATAAATACGTTTATTAATCTTCTGTGCAATGGTGATCTCAGTTCCATCAGGTTGTTTTTTCTGAATTTGTGCTGCATTGAGAACTCTAGGCTGTTGTTAAGAAATACCAAGAAAGGTCCCTACAATAACCCATCCAAAATGTGGAACTCAATATCAAATACAGTAATTATACAGAAAGGCTCAAGAGCAATTTTCATAAAACAAAATGTAATTCCATCAAAAGATCATAAAATCTGCCACGTCTCTATATAAAAACATGGATTAAAATTATTTAAAAACATCCTGTTTCATCTCCCTATGCACCCTTTAAATCAAATACATTATTCTGCATCTATCTGAAAGGCACTTACTGATTTAGTCAACTTGAAAGTAACTGGTACAGCTGGATGAGCCTCTGTTGTGGTCTGTACTGAGAAAGGAGGGGCATTTAGTTGAGAAATCACTGGACCATGTAATTTCACCCAGTAAATGTTGAATTTCTGAACCACTGTCACCCTAACATGAAGAAAGATGAAGTTAAATTTAGTTTTACAAAAACCGAAATAACTGCGGATGCTGTAAATCAGGAACAAAAACAAAGTTGCTGAAAAAGCTCAGCTGTGTTAAATTTAGTTTTGTTTTAATCATTTTTCAGTCAGAATTGAAGATGAATGTTTACCAACAGATGAGGGGGATCAAACTCCCATTCTAATCTTTTTTGAGATCTTGCTAAAAGTATACTGGGTACTGGTCACACCACAGCTGAAATGCTGCGAACAGTTCTTCTCCCCTTACTTAAAATGATAAACTGGTGCTGGAGGGAGTCCAGAGAATGTTCACTAGGTTAATCTTAGGCATGGAGGGATTTTCTTAAGAGGAGAGACCAAATAGGCTAGGATTGTGTTCGCTGATGTTTAGGAGAGTGAGAGGTCACCTTATTAAAAAATAATCTTAAGGGGCTTGACAGGGTAGATGTAGAGAAGTTGCTTCCCCTTGTGGGAATGTCTAGGACCAGAGGAAATAATCTCAGAATTAGGGGCTGCACATTTAAGAGAGATAATTTTTTTTCTCTCTAACAGCAGTGAATCTACAGAATTCTTTACAGTGGAGGATAGTAGTGGCTGGGTCATTAAGTATATTCAAGGCTGAGATAAATTTTTAATCAGTAAAGGAATCAAGAGTGATGGAGAAACGCGGTAAAGTGGAGTTGAGGATTATCAGATCACCCATGATCACATTGCGTGCCAGAGAAGACAGGATCGGCCAAATAGCCTACTTCTGCTCTCGCATGTAATGGTCTTACAATACAAACAGGCTGAGTGGCCACTTCCAACTTTCAACAAATACAACTTCTCCCGCACTGTAGGTAAAATCTTCTAATACTTCACGGTCATCTGGAAACGAGAAAAGCCTTAAACTGTCAATTGTATTTGATTTTGCTATAAATGCCGAAAGAAAGAAATCTGCCTCAAGAGTTAATGAGAGATATTGATCCTCCGATGCAATTAAGGTACATCTGTGTAAACGGTCAGGCAATAAGGTAGGCTTTTGTCTTCACTGACTGGACGGGTTATGTGCGTTTTCTGGAACATGGATCAAAATTATTTCTGAACATTTGTTTTCATCTCTTCTCATTGAAATCTAACAACTTGTCTTGAAACAATTTGACTTAGCGGTTTAGTCCGCTGGGACATAATTACTCAGACTGGAGGAGACTGTGGTAATTTATACCAGCAGTGAACTTTTACTTATTTTTAGCTATTGAAATTAATTAAATAACAATCAATCAATCAGGCACTTTCTATATCGGGCACAATAGGGAACGCAATCAGCTGCAAGTTCCCCTCCAAGCCACTCACAGTCGTGACTTAGAAATATATCACTGCTCCTTCAGGGTCAAAATCGCAGAATTCCTTCCCTAATGGTATTGTGGGTCTACCTATAGCACAGGGATTGCAGCAGTTCAAAAAGGCTGCTGACCATCACTTTCTCAAGGGCATCTAGGGACAGGCAATAAATGCTGGCCCAGTCAGCAACCCCTGCATCTTGCGAGCAAATAAAAATATCCACCCAGCTTGATCACTGTCCAAGCTGTCAGCAGATGAAAATCTAGTCCACTGTAACATAAGGTACTGCATTAAGGTATTTACATGCAGTAAATATGATTAGCCAATTAACTTTTTCTGCTTTGTTGCAATATACTAACACATTAGGCCTCTAATAGCTACGAAGAGAACTTCAATAAATTTATCATTGAATTTTGTTTGGCTTATTGACTGAAAATAAAATTTATGGTTCCCAAAATATTAAATTTCAAGACCTGTTCTGCTATTAACATTTTAGCACATTTTTCCACTTTCTAACAAAGTTCCATTGTGATTCATGAAGAAAGAAGGGAAGGCAGCAGTTACCAAGGAAAGTTAATGATGTCAACAGTGGTGACATCAGGTCACATGGCATTTGATGTGAGTGATCAGGTAGGGATTGCTCCCTGCTCTGTACATAATCAATAAACAGTTCTAGTTACCAACGCCTGCTCAATGTCTATTTCTGAACACACTACAACAGAAAGAATGTACAGGGGCATCATTGGTGGTTAAGAATAATACTGGATAAATAATTCATTGCATAATAAAATGTGACAATCTGGGAAACACACTAATCCCTCACACACATTAATTTCTGAAGCATTTCTGAAGAAGGGTCTAGGCCTGAAACGTCAGCCTTCCTGCTCCTCTGATGCTGCTTGTCCTGCTGTGTTCATCCAGCTCTACACCTTGTTATCTCAGATTCTCCAGCATCTGCAGTTCTTACTATCTCTGAAACAATTTTAACCCCACTGCGAAGCCTCTTCTAAGGATGCCTACCCTATTTCTGAAGAAGGGTCTAGGCCCGAAACGTCTGCCTTCCTGCTCCTCTGATGCTGCTTGGTCTGCTGTGTTCATCCAGCTCTACACCTTGTTATCTCTGTACATTAATTTATGTTGTATTCACACTTATATAACTTGCATGTTGAACCTTAAACTGGTATTGAACAGTCAATATGGAAACTTATCTTAAGTTACCACAAAAACATTATTTTTAATTCAGTGAATGTCATTTGTTGAATGCACTCCAATGCTTACAGGAACTGGATGTGGTCTGGCTTTGTTCCAGGTGGGTTCCACAGCACCACAATTGTATGCTTTCCTGATGAGCTAGTATGGCTGACTGCAGAGTCCTATGAAAGAGAAACAAGAGTGGAATGTCCAGTACACACTGGCTCCATTCAACAAATACGTTTAGTATATCAAAAAAATTGCTTTTGTACTTGCTGCGTACTCTGGCTAATGTTCAAATTATCCATAAAATTACCATGTGTTACTGATGCAAACTAATTTAATGCTAAAAGGTGTGACATAAATGCAGCACATTGTTGACAGAATGCAAATAATTAAAATGACACAAATCGGGGAAAGATTTGAATTAGGAAAGCCGTTAGGCCTATCTTAGCTCATCCAGTTAAGGAAATTTACATTATATCATCATCACCTCTAGCTACTTGCTTTCCCCCTGCCCTGAATTTGTCTTTTGCAAATTTAACATTAAGACATTGGCAGCTTTTCTGACCAATAGTGCAAAATTCCAAACTGATTTCTAAGAATTTCTGCAATTTGTTTGTGGAATTTACAAGCAGTTACACACTTTTACATCCCCACATGTCAGGAGCTGCGAGTTCTTGTCAATAAGTGTAAAGGTTCCAACAGGTCCCCCATTCAAGTCAGCAGCATCTCTTGCTTGTAAGAAAAATCCTTGGAATGAAGTTCCAGACTGTCTCACAGTGAGTGCAACTGAAACCAAGGGAAAACATTGTCAGTGTACAGAATAAAATGATTAACATGTGATCAGCCTCTATCGTTGCATCTGCGGTACACCAACAGGGTACACCAAGTGGGATTTAAGGCATCTCCTCATTAAAAGCAGAGGAAAAAATTACTTGTATAGTTATTCCAGGCCTCCTCATCAGGACTAGGCAAAAAGCACTATCACCAAAGGCCTGGAAATAGGGCTGTCACACTGAATGTGATGCCAGTTATTGAAAGGTGAGTAAAGCAAAGTAAGTGGGAAATAGTGTTCAGGATTTTTTTAGGGGACATTCCCTACATCAGGGCTATATACAAATCCTAAACCCATGGACAAGGAGCAGGATAATGGCAATTTTCATGGAGGTGGCCACTTAACAACTGCTGGGCTAGTTGTTCAATTCAGGAAATGGTCTACCAAGTTACTCATCTGTAGAAAACTACAAACCATAGAAGTATTCAAATACCATTGAATACAATACTAAATAACCTGTACTGAGGCACATTTTGTCTTAACACTGATCAAACGAATTTGCAATATTATTACAGAAGGGCAAAAACAATTGTAATATAAAAGTTGAAAACACATTTTTGACTTAAAAAAACTGCACCTTTTATTTGATCCTTTGAGCTGAACACATCTTTGTCCACTGTAATAACAGCAGGACTTGCTGATTTCTGAGGAAGGCTTCCATGTTGTGGAGTCATGGTATCACAAGCAACAGTCACCTGACCATTTCCATAGGCTAACAGGGGTTCCAGAATGATGCTGAGTACAACAAGTATACCAGGAATACATAGTCCCATTCTACTGTGAAGTCAGAAGAGAACTGTTTTAATTGGTGCTGAACTCTGTTAGTTTCCCAGAGTTTAATTCTAACAACAAGCAAACAATCATCTTTACATGGTCATTGATAATTAAGAAACTCATATTTAAAGCTAATTCACCAAAGTTAACATTCACTATCTAAGTCTTAGTATTGGCTCAGTAGCAACGCTCTCACCTCTCAGTCTGAAGGTATAGGGGTCAATCTCCTTCACCAAAAACATTTTTGCTAAACTTGTACCTCTACCAAAGATTCACACTGTCCTTTTCAATAGCATCTGAAAATGACAAGGCTCACCTTGATTTCAAAATCATGTTCCATCTTATATGGTTTTCAAAAGTAGAGTAGTGAGATTCTCGCGAGGCAGCAGCAAGATGCCAATTGACATCATTATTGATCATTAAACACCTTGTTTATTCAGACTCCCATCTTACCAAACAAGTTTGATGTCGGAAAATCTTGTAAAGGAAAACAGAGCAAGTATCTGGTCCTCCAACACTTCTGCCATCTGCAATCTGACCCCACCACCAAAGACATTTTTCACTCCCCACCCTTATCTGCTTTCTGGAGGGACCACTCTCTCCATGACTCCCTTGTCTGCTCCACACTCCCCTCCATCCCCACCACACCCGGCACTTTTCCCTGCAACCACAGGAAGTGCTACACCTGCCCCCACACCTCCTCCCTCACCCCCAATCCCAGGCCCCAAGAAGACTTTCCACATCAAGCAGATGTTCACCTGCACATCTGCTAATGTAGTATACTGCATCCGCTGTACCCGTTGTGGCCTCCTCTACATTGGGGAAACCAAGCGGAGGCTTGGGGACCGCTTTGCAGAACACCTACGCTCGGTTTGCAATAAACAACTGCACCTCCCAGTCACGAACCATTTCAACTCCCCCTCCCATTCCTCAGACAACATGTCCATCCTGGGCCTTCTGCAGTGCCACAACGATGCCACCTGAAGGTTGCAGGAACAGCAACTCATATTCCGCTTGGGAACCCTGCAGCCCAATGGTATCAATGTGGATTTCACAAGCTTCAAAATCTCCCCTCCCCCGACCGCATCCCAAAACCAGTCCAGCTCGTCCCCGCCTCCCTAACCTGTTCTTCCTCCCACCTATCCCCTCCTCCCACCTCAAGCTGCACCCCTATTTCCTACCTACTAACCTCATCCCGCCCCTTGACCTGTCCGTCCTCCCTGGACTGACCTATCTCCTCCCTACCTCCCCACCTACACTCACTTTTACTGGCTCCATCCCTACCTCTTTGACCTGTCTGTTTCCTCTCTATCTATCTTCTCCTCTATCCATCTTCTATCCGCCTCCCCTTCTCTCCCTATTTATTTCAGAACCCCCTTCCCCTCCCCCATTTCTGATGAAGGGTCTAGGCCCGAAACGTCAGCCTTCCTGCTCCTATGATGCTGCTTGGCCTGCTGTGTTCATCCACCTCTACACCTTGTTATCTCAAGCATCTGGCAGATTCAGCTCACTGCTTGTTCCAAATGACATCCATATTGGACACCAGGCAGCAGCATCTCAGAGCACACGGCATGGGCACAGACCAAACCCCCTCAAAATACATTAAGAAGTCAGGCTAGACCCCAACTTTTCTTATGCTTAAAGACAAATGTAAGCATTGTGTTCCAGATACAATTCGATTGGTCAAACTACCAGGCTTGAAGCAAACCACACTTTATTCTTTCACTACGGTTAAAATAAAAACAAAAGAAAGAAGAATTAGAATAACAACTTTATTGGAAAACTTAATAAAATAATAGATTGTTTAACTACGAAACAGCAACTGTTCCAAAATATTAACATCCCATAAACACACTTTTACCAAAGGCAAATTCATAAAATAGACTGTCTCACATGCAATTCTCCAGTCCAGGAGAAAAGAGCATTAAGAGAAAATTCTGAGAGAAAGAAAGAGTCAGAGAGAGAGAGAGAATTCAAGCATTTTCCTGTAGCAGGGAGAAATGTACAGCAGTTTCCAGACTCCAACAGCTACTGCAAGTTAAACTAAAATCCTGGTTCTATGGGATATTGACCCCATCCGTTCACGCAGCTTCCAATGTTCCAACTTTTAAAAAAAAAGCCCAAGGCCTCATAAGCTGTTTACTTTGTTGGCTTGGACAACACCGCTCTCCACTTCTGTCTCAATCTCTCTTCATAACAAGAACAGGACAAAATACACCTCTTAAATCCATTGTATCATCACAGCACTGAACACTCATACATACATACCTCATATTGACAGATATTGACATCCAACACATGCCAGCTTCTAAGGATCCACATGGCGTATCGCCAATCCACTTACAAGATGCTTCTGGATACTCACAGCATTCTTGCCTTTTGCTATTCTGCCTTGCCTTGTTGCACATTCCTTCCTTAGCCAGTAATACCAGCCTCATTTTTCTGCCAGCTTGCTGTGCCATTTAGCACAGACACAAGGGAAGGAAGATTGTTACTAGGTTTCATTCAGGTCAGGGGCCTGGCCATTGCTCAGACTCAATAAATCAAGCGCAGCTTCCGTTACCAGTCTACACCATATTCATCATCCACATCTTCACTACGTTAGCTCAGTTGGCTAGACAGCTGGTTTGCAGGACAGCGTAACACTAACAGCCTGGGTTGAATTCCCACACCAGCTGACGCTACCATGGTGGATTCTCCTTCTCAGCCTTTTCACATGCCTGAGGTGTGGTGACACTCATGTTAAACCACCACCAGTGTCTCTTGTTTGAGAGGGCAGCCCTATGGTCCGGTCATATGGACTGTAGCGACTTTACCTAAATGCCAGCACTGAGGCAGTAAGCTTCATCTCCAACATTTCTGACTCCGCACTGCTTTAGCTTATTTTTTTTATTCATTCAGGGGATGTGGATATCGCTGGCTAGGCCAGTAACTGTCTTCTGCTGCCAAAACTCTCATCCACGCCTTGATTTTTCCAATGCACTGTTTACTAGCCTCCAAGATAGCAAGAACTGCAGATGCTGGAGTCAGCGACAACACAGTTGGAGTTGGAGGAACACAGCAGGTCAGGCCTCCTCCTCTGATGCTCCACACTGTCCATAAACCTGAGGTTTTAAAAATTCTGTTGTTCATGTCCTAACTCACAGCAACTCCCCTTCACCTATCACTTCTGCGCTCATTAGCCTACAGTGGCTCAATTTTAAAATTCTCATACTCGTTTTTAAATCTCTCCAGAGAACTATCCCCTCATTATTTTTATAGTCTCCTCCTGCCTTATGTCCCTCTAAAATAACTGCATCCCTCAAATTATAGTCTGTTGTTCATCTGCAATATTAATGGCTCCTCCAGTGGTGGCCCTATCTTGTACTTGTGAGCCTCCAAGTTTTGGAATTCCCTTGAGAACCCTTCAACCTTTCTTTTCTCCGTTAAGCACTCCTTAAAATCTACCATTTGTCCAAGTTTTATTCTTCTGCCCCAATATTTGCTGATCTTTTAAAAATTCACTCATGGGACGGGGGCATCACTGGCTGACCACCACTTATGGCCTGGCACTAGTTAGAACATAGAACAGTACAGCACAGTACAGGCCCTTTGGCCCACGATGTTGTGCCAAACTTTTACCCGAAACCTAAGGTCTATCTAACCTCCACCGCTACCTTATACTATCATCCATATGCCTATCTAATAGCCGCTTAAGTGCCCCTAATGAGGCCGACTCCACTACCCTCTCAGGCAATGCATTCCACGCCCCTACCACTCTCTGAGTAAAGAACCTACTGCCCTTGAGAAGGTAGTGATGAAGTGCCTTCTTGAACTGCAATTCATGTGCTGTCGGCTGACTCACAATGTCCTTAGGGAGGGGAATTCCAGGATTTTGACCCAGCAGCAGTGAAGGAGGGTAATATATTTTCAAATCAGGATGGTGAGTGGCTTGGAGGAAAACTTGCATGTGGTAGTGTTCCCATGTATCTGCTGCTCTTGACCTTCTAGATGAGACTGGTTGTGGGTTTGAAAGGTGCTGTCTGAGAATCTTTGGTGAATTTCTGTAGTGTATCTTGTAGATAGCACACACTGCTACTACTGAGCGTCAGTGTTGGAGGAAGTGGATGGTTGTGGATGTGGTACCAATCGGGTGGACTGCTTTGTTGTGGATGGTGTTAAGCTTCTTTTTTTTTGCTGGAACTGCATTCATCCAGGCAAGTGGAGAGTATTCCATCACAGTCCTGACCTGTGCTTGGTAGATGGTGGACAAGCTTTGGGCAATCAGGAGATGAGTTACTCATCACAGTATTCCTATCCTCTGACCTGCTCTTGTAGCCACTGTATTTATGTGGCGAGTCCAGTTGAGTTTGTGATCAGTGGTAGCCCCCAGGATGTTGGAAGTGTGGGATTCATTGATGGTAACAACCATTGGATGTCAAGGGGCCGTGGTTAGATTATCTCTTGTTGGAGATTGTCATTGCCTGGCATTTGTGTGGTGCAAATATAACTTACAACTTGTCAGCCCAAACCTGGATATTGCCCAGATCTTGTTGCATTTGAACATGGACTGCTTCAGTATCTGAGGAGATGTGAATGGTGCTGAATGTTGTGCAATCATTGGCGAACATCCCCAGTTCTGACCTTATGATGGAGGAAAGATTATTGATGAAGCAGCTGCAGACACCACCCTGAAGAACTCCTGCAAAGATGTCCTGGAGCTGAGATGACTGACTTCCAACAACCATGACCATCTTCCAATGTGCAGGTATGTCTCTAACAAGTGGAGAGTTTGCCCCTGATACTCATTGATTCCAGTTTTGCTAGGGCTCTTTGATGTCACACTTAGTCAAATGCAGTCTTGATGTCAAGGGCTGTCACTTGCACCTCACCTCTGGAATTTAGCTGTTGGTCCATGAGATCAGGAGCTGAATGACCCTAATGAAACCCAAACTGGGTGTCACTGAGCAGATGATTGCTGAGCAGACGCTGCTTGATAACATTATTGATGACATCTTCCATCA